CAAAGCAACGTGCGAGAAAGGCTCGGCCCACGACTTGACGTCCGTGCTCGCCTGGGCCCGCAGGGAAATGTACTTCAAAGGCTAGGCTCCCAGGGAGATCAAACTGACAATCGCCGTAATGAGGATCGTGAAGAGAGGCATTTCACTGCTCGCCGTCAAGCTGCAGAAAATCCCTCGCAAGCGCAGTCCACCAACACGCCTCCTAGGCAGCGCGGACGAGAGGACCGACCCGCGCGGACCACCGAGGAGGTCAATCAGCGTCGCCCGAATCGCAAAAGTCGCCAACGTGATCGACCAGCAATGCGCGCGGAAGACGTTGAGAAGCTTGTGAATGACCGACTTCGAGACTTGAAGACTAGCGGGAACCTCGAGGATGCACTACGTAAGGAGATGGATCAGGCGATCTCTACTCATTTCACCCCTGAAATCGAGTAGGCTACTCTCCCGAAGCGATTCTCAACGTCTTCGTTTACGCATTTCAAGGGAGATTCCGATCCCGAGAGCCACCTAAAACACTTCAAAAGTGTCATGATCCTCCACAAGGCCGACGACGCACTGATGTGCAAGGCGTTCGCAATGACCTTGCGAGAAACAGCTCAGGACTGGTTCCACACCCTACCGTCTGGGTCGATCAACAGTTTCAAGGAACTTGCCTATGTATTCACTAAAGAATACACTTCTTATCGGACGATCAAGAAGAACCTAGATCATCTGTTCAACCTACGCAAAAAGCCTGACGAATCCATTCGAGATTACATCAAGAGGTTCAAAGCAGAAAAGGCCAACATCGTAGGGTGCGACGACCAAATCGCATCATCTGCCTTCAAGAAAGGTCTTCCAGCATAACAATAGTTATACCGCGAGCTGACTATCACTCCCAGCTTTAGCAGAGGTCTTTGCGACCGCAGAACGCTACGCGCTCTGGGATGATGATCGAATTGCCGCGAAGAAGTCCACTGAGCAGGGAGATCGGCAGACTAAGCGGGTGGGCCAAAGAAGCAATGGATTTAACAACAAGAATAAGGACAAGCGCAGGTCACAC